TGACTCCAAGTCAATTTTTTTTAACTTATGGCGACCATAAGGTGAACCTATCATAGGGTTTTCTTGGCAAGTTTCTTCAGAGGGGGTTTGCTATTGCCATCCTTTGAGGTTTAGAGTGTGTGACTTTCCCAAGTTGCCAAATGGGTTTTCAGAAAGTGCCAATTATACCTGGAAACACAAGGAAGTCCCAATTATAGTATACCTGGAAACACAAGGAAGTCCCATTAAAGTTCAACAGAAGACCATCTATTCAGCCATCCAATGTGTGTGTTCTGACTTTCTGAAAATGCAGCAAAATAAAGTCCTGATATCCACAGTCATATTCTCACTAACAACCTGCTTCTGTGACCTGGCATCCCAAGGCATTCTACTGCAATAATTAATATTTAGCATGAGCAGCAGACAGATGTGAATGGATGCAGGCAAACCTTGCCACTCCAAATAAAATGCAATATTCATGTATATTTGTACCACTGTAAGTATTGATGGAATAACTTTAATGAGCAATTTTGCAAATGAGATCTATACAGTTTAAAGAAATCCCAACAAGGAAAGATCATTGTCCAGAAAAATTGAATAAGATTTGAGGACTTGTGCTGAATCAGACTAAAGGCCTATCTCCTTCAGCAGTCTCTTCTTACAACGTCTACCCACGTGCCTATGGGAAGAGCACAAAGTGGGAGTGAGTGCAACAGTACTTGTCTGTGCCTGTTCCACACTACTGGTATTTAGAGCCATACTGCCTCCAGCACTGAGGTTAAAATATAGCCATCATAACTTTCCAATGCTGATTAAAATCTCATGGAAACAAACTCCATACTTTAACTCTGGACTGTGCGGCTTTTCTACAAGCCTCACTGGATGATCCTTGGTTTTGGTATGATGTGATCAGAAGAAAAACGTCTCCCTATTTGCTTTCACCACATTATGCATTATTTGTTCACCCAGTCAAAATAAAGAGTGAGATGAAAAATGTATGGATAAACTAAGGGCAACTTTATTAACTATTTAATTCTTATGTGCAGCAGAGCTGCTTAGTGTAGTATATGTTCAAGTAACTGTTGTATTTTGGTGACATCATTAGAAGGCATGATTCATTAAAAAAGACAAGAATTCTGGGAAAGGTAGAGGGTAGCAGAAAGGGAGGAAGACTGCATGCCAGATGGATAGACTCAATCAGGGAGGACAGGGGCCTGAGTTTGCAAGATCTAAGCAGAGCAGTGGAGGACAGTAGGTCTTGGAGATGTCTCATCCACAGGGTCGCCATGAGTTGGAGTAAATTTGAGGGCAGTTAACAACAATCTTACCTCCTCTTCAACATAGCAGGAGTGAACCTCCCCAAACCCCAGAGGCAAGCCGATCAATCTTGCTTGTCCCTGGCCAGTCTATTTCCCAGAAGCCTAAACCTGTTGGCCTTTTCCCTCAAGCCCTGAACCCTAAAGGAGAAAGCCAACCAAGTCCAGTTCCCAAAGTTGTTCTCTTTTCTATCCCTGAGTCCCATGACCCAATGGGGAATTCCAGAAAACTCCCTTTATCAAATGATCCCTGTGGGAGTTGACCTGTTATTGAGCAAGATTTCACTATCTGCATTAACCTGGTAAATCATAGAATCACAGAGTTGGAAGAGACCTCAAGGGCCATCCAGTCCAACTCCCTGCCTTGCAGGAATACACAATCAAAACACCCCTGACAGATGGCCATCCAGCCTCTGTTTAAAAACCTCCAAAGGAGGAGACTCCACCACTCTCAGAGGGAGTGTGTTCTACTGTCAAACAGCTCTGACCATCAGGAAGTTCCTCCTGAGATTTAGGTGATCAAATATTAATTATGTTAAATAAATGTTAAATAAATAACTTTAAATACAGACTACAGTACTTACATTATATTCAAGGCAATATCTTTTTTTAAAAAAATTAAAGCACTACTCAAAGCCAATTCTTCCTACAGTACCATGGTGAATCAGTATAAGGTAGACAAAACTCTTTCTCCCTTGTGAAGGCCAAGGGAAAAGCAAAATTCCTACCTGCCCTCAAAATGGTGACCAGCTGAAGCCAGGATAAGTTAGTAAGCCAAGAAATGCTGCAAGATAGTAGAAGTGTGATAAATCAGTGATTTATTACAATTCTTTTGCTCCCTCTCCCCTCATGCCTCAATGCAAAATGTTAAAGGCATTGTTTTTCTCTCCCCCCTTCCAAGGGTACAAATGATGTCCCCAACCAGGCACGGGGCCAGAATTTGATCCCTGTTGTAGTTCTTCCCTTCACTCAGTTATTTTCTAGGCTAAAACATCTCAGTCATTGTAACTTTTCACATGTGCTGAGTTTCCATCTGGTGTTGTTTGACTTTCTAAATGGAATTGCAGGTCTGTTTGTGTAATTTGGCAGAGTTGGTTAGTTCTGCTCACATGACAAGAATTGAAGCCTGATTAGCAAATTAGCAGAATTCATAATAATAGCTAATTAGCAGAACTTTTCTGTTTCAAATGTTGCAGTTGCTGGGTACAGTGTAGGAAAGACAGTATGCTTTCAGTTGTCCTTAAAACAGTACACAAACCAAAGTAAAACCTATGTGATATTTGGCAATATTTGAAAGAGAAATTTTACCTTTGCTACTCTTGTTTCTTCCCTTTTTGGTTGATGGTTACCTTTATCTCTCCCTCCTATTTTCCTTTCTTTCTGTTTTCTATTTTCACTTAGTGGTCAGAAACTATTTCCCCCCCTTTCTCTTTGTTCTGCTTATAGAGTTCCATGTACACTAATTGCATCATGCACATGATAACACGAACACTGAGAATGTCCTTTTATTTATAAACCACATCAATACCCTTGGCTGTTTATAGGAGAGGTTTGTACATTAGAAAGAAAACTCAGTTCAAATACCTAATATTGACAAATTTTACACTAAGAACAAAACACAATCTGTGAATTTTGCACATGCTCTAGAATTTTTGAATGCCATCTCTGTGGTTTCAGTATCTGGGATGATACAATCAGCCCCCCTTATCCACAGATTTGGCACTGCCTCCTACAGTCGGACATGACTTGACAACCTTGTCAACATGTAATACCTTTAACTTTACCTATTACCATTTTACTACACCATTGTATATAATGGGACTTGAGCATCCATAGATTTTGGCATCTGTGGAGGGTCTTGGAAGGAAATCCGAGCAGATACCAAGGGCTTGGTGAATTTCCATATAGTGAATAGGATTTGAATGCTGTTCTAGCATAGGGAGAAAGGGTCAGCAATTCCCACAGATTTCACAAAACTTTAAATTTGAGATTGGCCAGCTTTCCACCCTGCTGTTTCTTTAACTGAAGTATGATCTGTAGAAATTTATCTAGTGAAGCTTTCCTGTTATGTGATCTCTACATAAGGAAGCACATTGCCTGCTAAATATCTATTGCCATGAAACTACCCTATCATCAGGCAAAGCAGGTGGCTACCACAAGTGGCAGACACTGAAGTGGTGGCATCAGAAGGGTGACATGTCCCATGTGACTTGCTCTGTGACCATTAAACTACTCTGCTGCATATCAGGGGTGTTACTAATGGAGTGCGTGGATGCAGACTATACCAGGTGACACCTTAAGGTGTGTGTGTGTGTGACACGACTCTTTCCCAAACATCTGCTTTTGGACAGAAATGGGCTATGGTGTTGGCCTGCATCCCTTTCAAATGATGAAGAGATGGAGTGAGTGGGGTGAGGCTCAGTGGGAAGAGAAAGGAGAGGCCCAAGTTAAAAACATCACATTTTACCAAAATTTCACTTTAACCACACAAAACAATGTACATGTAAATACATTTAGAATGTGCATATGATATTGCAATTTAAAGGTATATTTTAATTTTTCTAGTTGTTTATGTCATAACCATTGCCATTGCATTCAGTGATATATGGGAATTATGATTTATGAGTAACATTAGTATAAAAAATTATTAAGGATTCTGTATGGTGTGGTATAGGAGGAGGTCAATGGTGGGTGACAGCATGAGTTACCACACTAGATGAAAGCAACTCTAGTGATACCACTGCTGCACATAGGAGCAGTGGAGATTTTTGTCCTGTTGCTGCTGTTGAAATAAGATTTAACTGCCAGTCTCATGAGTCTACTGCCTGAAGTAAGGAGGGAATGGGTGGGGGAGAAGTGCCATCTTGTCAACTGTCTACAGAGACAAAAAAAATATGAACTAGTCTCGTGCAGTTGGTAAAAAAGCAAGACATGAGACAGAAAACAACAACAACAAAATCACCACATAGATCTGTGCCCCTCTACTCTCCAGGTCTAATTCCTAACTTTTGGCAGGGCATCAATCAAACCATTTACAAGTATGATATGTAAATTTTCTCATCATATTCTACATTGGGAAAAAGGGAAGAGGGAAGGAATATCAGGAGTAAATGTGTGTGAAAGAAAAAAAAAAGTGGGGGGGGGGGGAAAAGAAAAAGTGAGATTGAGAAGGTAGTGACTCCATACGGCTTTCTTCATCCAGTCCCTGGGTGGCATATGCCCACTTCTTGTTACCTACTGACCAACAATGATTATCCCCAAGGGAACATGATTTTAATCTTTGGTCTATAACTCCTAAAATGTATAGGCTAAAAATAAGTAAACTGAATCTGAAAACTATAGCAACCCAGCCATGACATCAGGCCTGGAAAATGAATAATACTTCAAATGTTACTGGACTGAAACTGCCATCACCCCTCACCATTGGCAGTGCTGGTTGGGGCTAATGGGAAGTGTAGACCAATAATTTGGTCATGCATTACTTGTCACCAGTTTAGGACACATTATTAATGATTCAATTTTATTAAAGTATCTATAACTGGGATGCTACAACTGAGAGCTTGTCTACACTAAGGATACATTGTTGTCTACACTAAGGATACACTAAGGGGTTTCTTGGCAAAATTCTTCAGAGGGGGTTTGCTATTACCATCTTCTGAAGCTGAGAGACTATGACTTGCCTAAGGTCACCCAATGAGTAATCATGGCCAAGTGGGGATTTGAACCCTAGCCTCCAGAGTTTTAGTCCAATGTTCAAACCACTATACCATGCTGGCTCTCAATAAGGAAATACATTGGACTTACCCCACTCCTTGTGCGATCTGGCCAGGTGACATATGGCCACAATCACAACATAAACACTCTTTTAAGTTTAAGAGAACCCACAGTTCTCTTGGCTGTCTGCACAGCTTAATCAGGTCCAATTTGGCCTGAAACTCTGAAGTGCCTTCAGTTCTCTTGGCAGTTTGTACAACTGGATAAGGTTTGATTTGGCCTGATCCAGTTGTTCAGACAACAAACAAAGCACCATCTCTCTTATCTTACACTGAACAGTGCTGAGAAAGAAATGGATTCTCTTCAGAGATGCTGTCACCATTTTGCCAGCCAAGCAGCTTTCTTCAAGAGACTGGCCATCACCATCACTTCTGCTGAAGGTAGAATGGAGCACATGTGAGATCATCAAGGAAGAGGTAGACTGACCCCTTACTTGTTGATCACATGGCAGGGTATCCCATTCTGCTCTCAGTAGAAATAACAGCAATGTCCAGACTCTCACAGAGAGCTGTGTGGTCAACCAGCTATCAGCAGCAGCAGTGACACTGAGGGAGATTGTCCAGTGGTGCAGATGCAGTGTTGGCCTTTCTGGTCCTTGTATATAATGATGTCCTGATGTACTAGGCCTGGCCCAGTGTGCGTGGGTACCATTGAAGCCAGCCTGTGGCTGGCCTGGGGTATAATGCTCTGGACTGGCCTTGGATTAAGTGGCTGGTGTAGATGGCCTCTGGGAAGGTGCTTGCTGTAGTCAATGCATAGTGGACCCATGGTATCCCCGATGAGCCTCTCTTAATGAGCCTATGCCACAGGCAGACTGATATAGAGAAGGATGCTTCCAAAGCATTTCTGATTTGCAAGACCTGAGCAGGGCAGTTGATGACTGGAGCTCTTGGGAGTCTCTCATTCAGTTGCTTTGACAGCAAATAATGGCAACAACAAAGTGTGTGTACATAATTGCATCTTTAATATTGATTATTTTTATCTTGAGTGTATCTTGAGCCATTTGCCCCAATATTTCTCAGTTTCTTAAAAAAAAATCTTAGAGTGTCAACAAAGATAGAATCACTGGCTGCTGGTGGTTCCTGTGTCAGTGGGGTGGTGAATCTACTTCAGGTTTTAGAAATAACTTTGAAGGAGCAGCTAAATTGCTAAATCTGATTTGGAGATAGAATCTACCCCTTGAATATCTTCTTTGAAGTTCAGGTTAAAACCCAGAGTGGATTCACACAAAGCCTCCAGTTGTCACTGGAATTAATCACCTCCTGATCAAACTCCACACAAATCAATAGCAGCATGATCAAAATGTGTCTTTCTCTGTGTATATACTTTCAAAAATGATATCAAAGCTTAGCTATGTATGTATTTCACTGTGCAATCTGCTAGGAAAGTACCCACCATTTCAAATGACACTTGGAATTAAACTACCGGTAGTAATCTCCAGAGCAAAAGGCATGGTTTGTTGTAGTTTATAGTTTAAAAGCCTCCCTCTTTCTATTTCAGGCTATAACCTCATCTGGACTGGACACAGAGATGGCAACTGAACATGATTGGCCATACATTACACAATGACAGCAGGGCAAATGACTAAATTTACAAGATACTATTTAGTCTTCAGATTCTCAGAGTGAAATTGACCTTCAAGTGACAGACTTTTACATGGTGAGTTGCCTAAGCCAAATATGTTAGGCATTCAGACTCTTTAGGGCCTTTTGCAGAGAACTGGAAGCTCTCTGGGTGACAGATTTTATCTACCGTAGATAAGAAGGCAAAGATGACAAGAACAAGAGAGAAAAGCAGCTAACAGGCAAACCAATATGCTATTAAAATTCTGGCTCTTTTGACAGTACTACCAATCAGGCATATTCATGAGTTGGCTGAAGGAAGAGAAAAAAATTGTATAATGTGACAAATATGATTCCACCACAACCACTATACCTGCTGACAGATTCAACATTCTTATTTCTTGGGCTATTTGGGCCAGGGGTGCTGGGAGGTGTAGTCCAATAATGCCTGGAGATTTGCACAAGTCCTCCTGCTGATTTAAATACTAGTACCCCTTGCTTGTGATGTCCCCTTGCTTTTCTAAAGTTATAAATTTGATCCAGCTCTCGTGTCTCGTACTTGCCCTCTCTTGCTCATTTGGATCTGTCCAACATTTCTGGTTCTGTGTTCACCATTGCTTTGTTTTCTTCAGTTGTCTACTCAGAACTACCCATGTTAAATGCTTGAAGTATGAGGAAACTAAATGATGGGCTGGTTCCATTATATTTTGAGAAGGTCTTAGCTACCATTTTTAGAAGATTGGAGGGGGCATAATTTGACTAAAAGTTGGGAAATATCAGAGATGTTAATTAAATACCCCCCTGGGCCATATTGCAAAAGCAGTAAACACTTCTGCTTCAAAGGACGAACCCCCAGATACATTCATTAGTCAACCCAAGAAAAGTGTCCACTGATGTCTCCCCCTTTCCCCATCTTTCAGATTCAACCCAAACTGAAACTGACTAGCATATGTGGAGGCTGATCTTTTGAGCAATGAATTTTGCAGGACCTTGTGCCAGCCCTGAGCCATAGCAAAATGACTGTCCCTTTAGTCCAGTGACAAATGGGAGTGGAACTGTCCAGGCCTGCTCTACTTTCCTCTCATAGGATGGGGTGTAGTAGGTACAAGCATGCAGCAGGATGTCCTATATTAGTCTCATGCTTTTACCCAGGCATAAGATTGGGCTGTCCAAAACCAGGCCACAGAAGTGGAAACTGTTTTTAGTGCTGGAACTTAGACAAGAAAAGGCAGGATTATCCAATGATTTCCTATGCAGGATGCTTTCCTCTTCAGTACCAAATTGAACCCCAAGTACGCTAATTAGAGAAAGTCATCAGGGCAGAGAGCATGGCTTTCAGGCAAACTTGTCCTTCAGCAATTGCTGCATTACAAATAGTACTATAAAAACCACTGAATGGAAATGTCAAGAAATACTCAAGATTTAGTTTGCATCATCCACACAGGAATGTCATTTGTGATGAGCCCGTGTTCAATCAGATTGGGAGGAAGTAGTACTGGATATAAATCATTGAGGTACCATATAGTATCAGCCCAATCTATAATGATATCCATGGTTTAATCCACCATAAAGCATAACAATATAATCTGGAGCAATTGTAGCTTTATCACAGACTACAAAACAAATGCTACAATGAGATCTACTATAAAGTCTATTCTAAGCCTGTGTTCTGCCTAGCTACCTGTAGACAATATAGTAATAAAGAGTGTATATGTGCTTTTTCATGGCTTCACTGCAACATTAACTTAAAACTTGCGAGTGTGAAAGAGACATTAGAAATCAAGTATCAGCCAGCTTTTCTTCAACAACTGGCATCAGCTCTTATACAGCACTGTTGATGGAGCTAGTTCACACATTCAGCTAAGAACTATTCAGTGCCAATTACTGATTTATGTATACACCTATGACAATGAGATTGAACTAAACTTTGCATAATATAAGCATTATTCACTGTCTCTTTAGAAACCTGGGAAGACAATTACACTGTTCAGTATTACAATCACACCACCAATTGCACCACTTAACCCACATTAATGCACCCTTTCAGTAGGGACTGTTACCCATTTTATTACATGGACAGATATAATAGATAACAGCTAGAACCATTCTGTTTCTCTCTAACCCTTATCTGCAACCCTTTGAATTAAACGAAAGGTCAACTGGAGCTGTAATTTCAAAAAGAGCTCTCAGTGACAACCTGAGCCATCTATTAATTAATGTAACACACCCCTATGACTTTTGTTTGTACTGTTTTTACAAGCAAAGAACACAATTCTCATGTTAGTCATGTGGCAGTCTCACTGAAAAAAACTTTCCAGGAAGTTTGTCATAAATTTTGCTTTTTCTGTGATGTTGTCAGTCTAACCTGACAGCAGGTGAGCAGAGCGCTCTTGTACAGCATGTATTGCTAGGCAAGGTACTTACTGGATTAAGGCAGGTTTTTCTTTTCTACTGGTCACCCTGATAGGCTTCAGTTCTTCCCCATCCTGCTGTAGATCAGTCATTAGCACCATCAGAAGCAAAGTACACTCTTGGTCTGTCTAGCTTGTCGCCTCCGCTCTTCCCCCTCCCACTAGTCCTAGCAATGTTTGAACAGGACTCACTCCGGGCTTATCCAGTCCCCCCCCTTTCCCTGTCTCCTGTCACAGTACACTGCTCTGCAACCTCAGAATCCAAATGGAAAACAGCTCTCTCTCTCTTCTCACTGTGGTATCTCACTAACTAACTAACCTGAGCAAGTTTGAACCGGTGGTGCTGTTGCCTGGCTCTTTACTTGGATGAAGCAAATGAGGAGAAGGGAGGGGGAAAACCCAGAGAAGACACATCCCTCTTCTCAACCCACAAACTGGTTAGGAGGAAAGGACACACATGCACAAATGCTAAAATAAAACCTGTTGAACAAGCTTTGCATCAGAGAGGAAATGATTACTCAAGCACAGGAACATAGATTCTAACACTATTTGAATTGCTGTTTTTTTTTTTTTTAACTTGGAAAGTCTAAGGGTTTTGCTCCCCTCCAGTTTCAAGAAAGCTATTGTAGTAGGATTTAGGCATGCTGAATGTAGGAACTGTTCATAATTACCAATCAGCCAGACAAGAAATGGAGGGAGGGGGTGGTGGGAGGAGGAAGAGATTCCAAAGCAACTGACCATGATCTTGACTCCTTCTATGACTTCAAGGGGCTGGCTTGTTACAGAGTTTAAATTATTCAAACTGATGTTGGATTCCTGAGGTATTATTTCTTGTCTGTTTAAAACAAAAGGCCTGCTCCATGTTTTTTGTGGGAATGACAGAGGTGACAAGGGGAAGGCACATTAATGTGAGCTGGCTCTTGGTTCCCAGCAAATGTGTAAAACACTTGGGATGAAATATTTTGCTTAGTTCTCAAAGGAATCAACAAATATTTTTCACTATTTTCTTCCTGCTACAAGAATGTCTTG